GCATATTAATGTTAAATATTATGTTTGGGCGATTCGATTTGTATAAACTTGATGATGAACTTAAGAACATCCAAATTATAATATCAACTAAATGCTTTTTTTACTAATATCTGATATGTTTTTTGTATATAATTACATAAAAGAGTAAGAAGTAAATTATTGATTGATTATTCTATTCAGATTTGAAATAAAATATAAATTGTGTATAAAATTGAATAAAGTATCGTCTGAAACTGGAATTCATCCCAGGTCGAACAATTCGGCCCGGAAACGATTGGTTGTAGAGAATTCCGGTTTATGATATTGATAATATAAAAAGTTCACTCATAGAAAATGAGAAAATAAAAATATATATTAAATTCTATTATAGAATTTTATTTTAAAAGTCGAAGGGTTCGAAATTATCTAATTGCTCCTATTTTTAAATATATATCTTTATCTTCGTGATTTGAGATGTGGGTCTAGGCGAGAGTATACTATTTATACCCACACCTAAGATCCACTGCCTCATACAGGTCAATGAAAATGTATAAATGGTAAAGAATGAATATCTATTGACATTCACATATCCACTTAATTGTTTATTCTCTTCACCGTCAAGCAATGGCTATTGATTCAGTAAGAACAAAATAAAGAAAAGATTTTAACTTGATATTCTCTAATCTTCATTTTTATTTCGATTAGAGAACTTTGTTGATTCTATTCCGTTTTGTAGTTTCGAAGTCTATCAACCTACAGAGAGATATGCCATTAATAACCCGCGTATTCTCGCATGCAATCTTCATTATAAAAATTGTATTTCTTATCAATAGATGAGTTATTTGTTATACTTTCTAAGTTAAAATCCATATCTATCCGTTGTCGTGAATAATTGTATTTGATGACTAAACTACAGAGAAATCTAGTGCTTCGTTTCAATTGCATACTAATCTTTGCAAATATAGACTTTCTTTGAAGGACATCTGAGACTGAATATAAAAACAAATTTCGATAGAATCATGGTATTTTTCTAGAGTTTTTCTTTTGGCGTTCGAGAAATTTTTCATCGAACGAAGAAAGAATGATATTATAACTTGAAAAAGAAAAAATATAAAGGTGACCTCTGCCACGCAAATATTCTGCAAAAAGTTCTAGAACACTCTCTTTCTGTCAATGTATTCTGTACTTATTTTTTCTAAATTTTGTTATGAAAAATAAATATAAAACAATTTTATATTTAGATTCAAGCGCTCGAAGCAGAAATAGAACGATTAAATCAATCGATACAAACCCGAATCGTAGAATACAAAGAAGACAAATTATCAGATGAACAACATACTGAATTAGTTAAAGATGGCGGGATATTAATGATTCATAAAGTAGACCTGGAATTATTATTAGCCGGTAAGTGAATATTCTAGTACATAATCATTATCTAATATGCCTCTTATATTTAGAGCGGAATCGTCGTATACCTGCTGCTGCTGAACAAATTGGGTGGGTGTGGGTGTGGGTGTGGGTATGTAACGGGTATACTACTCATACCCACACCATCAACCAGGGTGTGGGCATTATTTCCGCCTCACACCCACACTCACTCGGTTTTAGCCGTTTATGGCAGATATTACGTCGTTTCAGATGGTCTGAACGATCGACCTGGGCCAAATTAAATTTTTATTTAGTGCAAAACAAGGTATTTCAAGAACTGGAATCACCTGTTTCATTAATATTAATGGGTTTCGTACAGTAAGTTTTTGAATTTCTAGTTTGTTGTTTTGATTAAAACATTTTATTATTTAGATAACTGCAGATGAAACAGAATCAACGTATTCCAGCAATATTAAGCTCGTTCCATATACACGTAGCTTAACAGAAGATAAAATGAATTCTATGATCAAACGAGTAGAAAAATTTGCTAGCCAAGATAAAAGATTAAAGAATCGGCCAATGCTAAAGATCAGTTTAAATCGTAAGTTATTCGTTTCCCGCTGTTAAATTAATAAATGATATAATTTCTCTTATAGATACATATATCTATTAAAAAATTTATTAAATAATGAAAAAAACATTTCAAATGATAATAAAAAAATAATTGAAAGTGTCGTTGAAAAACAAATTCAACGGCTTGCAGCTAATCAAGATGCTGAAGTTGTTGAATTAATGGCACACAAGCAACAAATAGAAGTAATAGTAACACCATTTAATATTCAGTTATATGAAGAAGGTGATTCTGATCTCAGCTGTATAAATTAATATGCATTGATGCGAGATTTTGTTTTAAACTCGATCAAGTGCATCCATAGGCTTTTTTGTGATATATTATATTTTTTTGGTATAAGTAAAAAAACAATGATTGATTGAACAATTTACTAGTACAGTTTGTTTTGTCTAATTATCATACTCTGTCTAAAGCGGCAAACCTTTTAAGAAGACTTAACTCTTAAAATACAAATTATACAATAAATTGATTATAAAATGATATATAGATGTAGATAGATAGATGAATGTTTTTTGAAGGAAATTATTATAAAACAATATGCCAGATTATTCGAATCTTTTATAAACTGTGACTTTCTAAAGCCGCTTCGAGGAAATAAACGATAATAAATTTTTTCCATTCTCTAAAAGTATATTATTTTCATTTATTTTCAGTACACTTTATAGTACGTTCTTAATTTTGATTAGAGCATTATCTCTTATGTGTGTACACCTATTGATTAACTGTAAATGAAATTTAAAATGAATCATTTTTCTGATGTGTTTGACTCCTTAGATTAAGCATGATATTGTGTGATAAAACCAATAAACATATTACTCGATCAGCATTGTGGCAAAAGAATAAAAATCTGACGAATAGACTACTCATAATGATGAGAAATGTTAGAGAGAAAGAAAAACACAATCGGTCATTCATTTTGATTTCGTCGTATCATATCAATGTTTCATCTTGACTATTTCCCACTGACGTTTATATAAAAATGTCGACGCCTATATATATATATATATTTTTTTTTTATTTTTTATTTTTTTAATTGACATAAACAGAGTGTGAGTTTGAGATGAACGTCTTGAATAGCAATCGATTAAGTATGAATGATTTGCCTTATGAAATTTTATTCGTGATTGTTAGCAAGTTGAATATCGGTGGTACGTATTCTCTTATTGATGTTGACCAGCGATTTGCTCAAATACTATTTGATCAAGTTTGTGTTTTATAATATTAATATGACAGTCATAAAAACGAAATCATTTTTTGATTATACATTTTCAACGGACGGGGTGGGTGTGAATGTGAGTGAGGGTATGTAACGGGTATACTACTCATACTCACACCCACACCCTTAATCAACAAAAATGGGAGCATATTATCAACGTGTTTCATTATGTAATGATAAAGCGTCGCTTTTATATGTGTCATGAGAACCATGTAAACTACTAAGTCAATCCTACTTTTTAAATTTATTGTTTTAAGATGACACAAGACCTTACCTACACCAAAACCAGCAATAACATAGTCAAAATCGATTATGTGATTAGCAACATAAAATTATGCTGCAGTTGTTCGTACAATGAACCTACCGTCGTCATTAAAATTCTTGTAAGATCAGCATTTAAAAGTTTATACAATGTTATATCTTTCATTTAGAATAATCAAAGAGTTCTCCTCGATTTCGGAAAAATCAACGTTAATGACTACCACACAAAAAAGGGTTCGAAATTACGGAGTAACTCTGATTTTTCCATATGCATTTTTGTTTCAGTAAGTTGAGATGTGGGTGACGGTATATTGTGGCTATAATATTTATACTAATATTTACTCGCACCCTCAAGGCGCTGTTTTTGATGGTTGGAATGATCGTGCTGGGTAAGAAAATTTTCTCTCTCTCCTGTCTTTTTTCTAGATGGTTTAGTATTTTTTTTCTGTCTCATTTGTCTATAAATACATATATATGTAGACATTTACTTATTTATTGTTTTTTTTGTAGGTTAAATTGAATCTCAGACGATGCAATTGATATACTTTATATATTACTCCTAATTTAGTTACACTTAAAACTAATCCATTGTCTTTCGATAATGTCGATTTAAATTTAATTATACAATCTGAGAGATTTCGTCATTTACCAACTACAAATAAAATTAGAATGGCGGATATGTCCCGACAATGTAGATTAATTACAACATTAGATCCGCCGTACAAATACACATTTAAAAAAATCCAGTTTTTCTCGAATTATTTCATGGATTGACACATTTAACAGTTGAAATAAAAACTAAAGAACTTGAACGTATGATTGACTATTTAATCTTAAACAAATATCATAACGTTCATGACTCTTTATTTACATATATTGCAGGAATATCTGCATCGGTTTTTGAAAAGTTAATGATATTTATTCGAAATAAAAAATAATAATAATTATACAAAATCTGTAAATAACGATTTCTATTTATGGTGATAAATTTTGTTCTTTTGAATGTAATTTATTTTTATATATGATCAATATTATTTCTTCAATAAAAAAGAAGATTAAATTATACTATATTTTGATTCTTTATGAAATATCAAAATTCATACAGCAAGTCTAGAGTGATATGATGGTACTGTTAAATAAAGTTCTACTTGATTTTTTGTCCTGTTTTAAATAAGATCCTAATTGTCTTTAATTTTAGAAGTTCAAATCAGTATAATCGAATTTAGAAACGTTTGTTTATTCAAATATTAGAAACTACGATATTTTATTTTCTTTAATTATTTTAGTACTTAATTAATGATTCTGTAAAACATTGATAATTCAGTAACAATAATAGATTCATTTCAAAATAAGACATGTTCTCATTCGAATGTCATGGATGACAGAGTTAACTTGCAATTGGTTTTAAGAAAAAATGCTTTTGATAGCCTTTCTTGAAAATATTTTCACTCAATTAACAATTAAATCAATAGACTTAACCTCTTCGGTAATAAGAATCTCCTACCAGGAATTTATTTCATTACTCAGTATTTTAATATTCTCCAATTGACTTATTTGGGAATATTTTAGTTGTATAATAGTGTTTGTGTGATAACGATGAACAAAATCATATTAGAATGGTATTATTTAATGAATCTTACTGGTTTTAAATAGTAGAAGTTTTATTCCGAATGCGATTAACATCTTGAGGATGAGAGCGTGGGTGTGGGTGTGAATGCGGGTGTGGATGTGAGATAAGGACAAAATCAACACGTACACGTACATCCATACCCGCGCCCACTGTGCGCACTCGTCACAAAAAACCTTTTCTTTTATCATTCACAGCAACAACAAAAAAACAGAACGAACAAAACTGGGTGTCATTTTTTTGTAATGCAGAGAAAAAGTGAAGATAAAAACGAAAAAAGAATCTGAATAAACATTTCGAATCAACTGAGATGTTGCCTTTCATCGCCACTTTTTTCAAAATTATTCGTTTAAATTTCGACTTTGATGTCCAAGGAGATTTTCTAAATTCAAATAAACAATCATTTCAATGAATGATTTTCTTTTAAAATTCATGCATAAATTCTCCCATAATCTCTTTCGCTAATATGCATTTTGTGTACCAATTAGAGAAAGTGTAGAGTTCTCTTCATCGATCGAGCAATTTTTATTTCTCATACCGCATGAATAATTTTAGCAATAGTAATGAAAAGATTGATCATTTTTGAATCAGATCAAATATTCAACGGATCAATGATGGGAGTATGCATGTTAGATATGATTCAGGAAACGCCTGTACTCACCCAAATCCACACCCACACCCACACCACACCCCACATATACATGATCTTTTTCTACAAGTTTTAAATGAAAAATTTCATACACTGCTTAAAGCTTACACTCTCGAAATTTGCAATGTGAGTATTTTTTTACATGCAAGGAGTTATCAGTAATTTCTTCATTCATATGCAATAGAGAAAAGACTCTTTCACTACATAGATAAGAGTGAAAAAAGTATACACATCTTCACCTTCACGTTGGTTATTTCTAAAATTTAATATCTCTTTCAAGTGCGTCAAAACATTTTCTTTACTTTCCAGCATACAATACATTATACGACATAATCTCCACAACACTGTATCATAATCAAAACTTATCATTTGTTTGAGTAGTAAATATGTCTCTTTGCAGCTCGTCCTCGAGCTCCTCTGGTAGTTTGTCGACTACTCAAGGCAAATTGAACCAAATTTGGAAAAAGGTTCAATGTTCAAATCCTTTATTAGCTAGTTTATGTGATGTCAATAATATTGATACAAATGACATGAAGTCAGTGAAAGGAACAGTACTGCCGACAGGAGGTATCCTAAAAAAATTGGGAGCTACAATCAACCTCCATCTTTTACAGAAGAAGCATAAGTATTATTTTCATTTATTTGTCGATACGGCACACATATGGACAGAATTATGTTCACCTATGAATGACTCCAAAACTATCGATATAACCAATGGCACAGAATACACAGTTCAAATGGAAAACTCAAATGAAGATGCAGATGACTTCGTTGGATTAGATCAAGATAGTTTTCAACCTCAAGAATGGTCAATGACAATTTTTTCGACAATAAAAGATGCATTGTATTACTTTTCCAAACCACGTTATATTAAAGAGCCATGTCCACTGCGCTCTCCTTTGACTCTCATCGAACCTAATCTTGGCATCCAACGTGGAGATGTTTTATGTGTCAAACGATATACATCACCAATAAAGTATGATGAAATTTGTTTTTAAATTTTAATTTTCGAATTTCTAGGATTTTCAACAGAGCATACAAAAGTGATATAGCTTCTTCAGAGCTTTTTCTGTCGAAATCTGTATAGTCTTGGAAAATATGTATTCTCGACATCAGGTCTCATTTCGCAAAATTGTTCTCTATTTCAGATATATTCTTTTTCTTACCCTTATTTTAAGTCTCTTCATCATTCGAACTCTCACCTCGTCCTCAACATAATCGTCAGTACTATCCTCGTTACCAACCTAAGTCATCTAATCTTCTCTCACCATACAATTAAAAAACTGAGAATGTTAAAAAATTTCAAAATTTTCCAGCTTTAAATTTGTAATTGTTTCAGAATTTAAACAGCTCTGAAAAATCGAGAATTCCGATAGTTTCGATTATTTTCAAAATTCTAAAATACTATTTAGAATTCCACGAATTTGGGATCGGACGAAAAATGGTTATAATGTGGCGTATAAAACATTCTATCATTTTGGAGTGTACGTAGGAACTATGAAGACTAAGGACGGTATCGACCTTGAAGATACTGTGATTCACCTAACGAAAGACGTACCAGCTGCAAATATATGCATCAGTGCCGTTCCGCTAGTTGGTAATGAGAAAAACAAATGTTTTGTAATCGAAAAATCAACAACAAAGCAGTTACCATTGTTATTCAAAGTGATATATGAAAATCGAACGCATTCACAAAGAAATGAAACTGCAGAGAGAGCACTGGAAATCTATCTAAAATCGGAAAACTATGGGAAAAAATATAATATTTCTTCGAACAACTGTGAACATTTTGTGAATATATGTGCTTTCGGCACACCTTATTGTGAGCAGTATGCACAGCTGCAGATGACAACGATACCCCGTATCCTCAAAGGATGTCCCGTAATCGCAAAATTTGCGCGATGGCTCATACTTATATCAGCAGAAGCATCTGAAGGTATGTTACAATTAGGTACTCATTTGTCATATATTGGTGAATCTGTGACTCTGTTAATGCTTCTGTTGGAGGCCGCTGTCCGATTCCTCTGGGATATTTTTCTGCTAAAAAAAACAGGTTGTTACGCAGATTCCAAGCTGAAGCATCTATTTTTAAAACGATTTGTAACGATGGCTCCAGAATTAGTTGTAGCATTCAGTTTCTTATTGGTGTCGATTCTAGTTGCCGTCAGCGGACCAATTGGTATTGGTATTGGAATAGCTGGTCTCATCATCGTATTCGTATTACGCTACACAGCAAGACCCCGCATCGAACGTTGGATCGAACAGCGTGAATTTGCACGTTATGAAAATTTTCTTAAATGGCATCCAAGCGAAGTGGCACGGCTAACAGTGACCTTTCCAGAAGAGAATGAGATTGATCAGAACCTTCTGTACAAATTCGAATTAAAAAAGCTTTCTGGAAAAGCTATAAAGAAAATATTAGAACAGGAACGTCAAAATACTGGTCAAAAACTATTAGAAACTAAGCTTTACTTTCTCAATGAAGAACAATTAAAGACGTTCAGGCAGAATCTGGATGTCATTTTTGGTCATTTCGATATATCAAAAGAAATAGAAGGAAATATTAGTATTACATATAAAGGACATAGACTAAGTGTTCCAAGTTCCGATGAAAATCCTGTCACAGTTCATCAACTCCTTAGCAAGGCCCGATTGAATTGGCAAATCGATTTCAAAAAAGGTGAATGGCTACTATGTACGATGGAAGCTGAAAATCTAGAAAAAAAGTTGATCGCAGCTTTCGACATGCCAGATTCTATTAATCAAATAATACAGACCATGCCAAAATCTTCAACTGAATTAGAACTTTCCTACATAGAATCCAGTCGATGCACATTGTCTTAACTATGACTTGTACTTTTATAATACTTATTTTTATGCTAAACAAGGCGATATACTTTAATCAATAAAAAACCGTGTTGTAGAACTACGTGTTTACAGAATTCGAGAGTTAAACTTTATTTTATTGAATTCATGACATTGCAAGAGAAGCCAGGTATTTAAGTTTTGTATATCTAAATCAATAATTAACGCTGATACACCCACCTTCCAGAGTATCACTTGTCGACCACCTAAGATCCATGTGGACCCCAGTTTCATATGAGATGAAAATAGAGGGTGGGTGTGGGTGTGGGTGTGGATGTGGGTACCACTACTCTTAACTCACGCTAACACCCGCACTTAGCCACACCCGGTTCGACACTAATCCCCACTTTACCGTCAGTAAATTATTCGACAGCTTAGTGAAACTGGAAATTCAAAGGGAAAGAACCCATGCCGTATGCCTTTTTTATAACGAAAAAGGTATAGTTGGAAATTTTCACTGATAACTTGATATTTCATCGTCGAGAAGTCTCTTATCAGTCATCAACAAAGACATGCACAGTCACTTACATTCTTCAAGTAGTAATACAGCAATAGAGAAAGAAAACTTGATAATACGAAGAATAAAAAGATAAATAACTGAAAGAAATACAGAGTAAAACCTTGTTTTTATGTTGTTTCCTTGACCATAAGGATAGAATTTTGAAACGAGAATTGATCTATTTACATGTATTATTTTTATCGATGACATGGCACTTTTTATCATTTTTTGGGTGTGGGTGTCTTTGGGTGAGTTGGTGTAGAATGATTAAATGATCAATAACACACACACACGTACACAAACAATCTGTTAGCGCTCGTCAGGAACCATAGAAATCTTGTGGAACCCGAGATCCACTTTCTTGCTTCCCCCTGGCCTTTAAGTCGTCTTCTAGAAACATCGACTGATTTTCTAGAGAATTTTCTTTGAAGAGGATTTATTTTAAAGAATCACAACATCAATACAACAAAAAAAAGTGAGAATAATAAATACAAAAACTTGACAACACAACACCGAGTTGCTATTTTTCATCGACGTATAATTATGTCGTGTTTTAGATTTATTCTATTGATGAAATCGATAAGTCAGTTGCATAAGAAAAGTTTTCTGATCTCGTTTCTAAAAGTTTTCGAGACCAATAAATTGGTATAAAATGCAACACAGTTTGGAATGTAACTACTAAACAGACTAACATACAGCAGAAAGATACTGAGTTGACGTTGCATTGGATTCTCCGTGCTAGAATCAGTAAAATGTTGGTACATTAGAATAACCGATAACATTAGGCTGAAGATAAGATAGATGCTAATATTGGTAAATAAAATTCTAAAAAGTTGTCGATCTTTAGCATGAGGAGTATGTAAAACATTTCTTCCTATTATTTCTGTTCTTGATAAATCAGGAACCACTCTTGCATGACCCACGGCCACAATGTTCTTTATCGTCCACAGTCCTAAAATTAACATAAACAATGGAACGAGTATCGCTTTGACTATTAGGGAATAATAACTTGTAAATTGTAAATAGGCATTAGAACTGAAATAACAAATAAAATAATTAGGTAGAAATTCTATAATATCTGTTAAGATCAATGCATGAATATGAAATAACATCCAAAATATTGTTCCACTAATAATACAAATGTAAGCAAAACGATGCGTACTACGTTGACGTGTTAAAGCATTTCGTGAAGTAATTAGGACTCGATCAACTGAAGCCAAAATCAAATAAAATGGACTTAGAATATCTTCAACAAATGCTATATAGACAGTAAAGTGACAGTAACTTAAATTGCGTGCAGCATAGTTTATGTTAAAACCATTCGATAAGACGGCTTGAATAAATGTGGTATAGATAAAGAGAAAATTAGTAAGATTGTATACTATTAAATAGTTTGAACATGGATTTTTCCGTAAAGTTTTCTTTGTAAAAATAATTAAATTAAGAATACAACTAACACTACCAATGATCATAAATATTGGACCACCTATTTGATATAGGTACATCTGGACGGATATTAATCGTGCGATAACAGATGATTCTGAAGACATTATAATCGTGTTTACTCAAGAATCTGATAAACTAAGAGAAAACAGCACTTTATATAAGAATTGAAAATGTTCTTGTGAAGATTTCTATTTCATAATTAAAGTCTAGTGGATTCTCGAAGAAAAGAAATGCACGGATTAACTTTTCTATAATGTAAATTAGAAAAACATCACTTTTGCTGTTTGTATAAGAGAAAATGATTATTAGGAAACATCATCACAACTACAGACAGTTGAGATTTTAATCATTGATGGATGTCTTAGTAAGTGTCATCTACTGAATGTCGAAAAGAGATTAAATTCATTCTTAACCATGCAGAATATTTCTTGACAGGTATTACTACAAATAACAATAGTTTACTTTGTGTAATTAGTTATGTCACTTCTTTTTGTCAGTATTATAAAAATGTGCTGATAGTCTTTTTCTCTATTACCAATGATTTGTGAGAGTGCTGTCGGATTTCGATGCTATATCGTTGAAACATAATAAAGGGAATGTAAAGAGTATCCATAAAAAATAAACAACGAAGCGGTTGAAAATCATTTTTTCTTTGTCATTTATCGAATTTAATGACGAGCAATAGTACGAATACAATGAATATTTTTCAGAGACAACAATAACAGAATTATCAATGAACAAAAATGAACCCAGGTGATTCAATCCAGTCTCTAGATCCCACGGAAAACTATCGTTTTGCAGATCGAATTCCGGATCAGATCACGTCGGAAAGGGTGTGGGTGTTTAAAAAGCAGACTGATCTACCTATAAACATTAAATATATTTAACGGCAATAATTTACATATAATTCACTGTATCGCAACGGTGATAAATAATTTCATCGTAAAATAAATTTTAAAAACTTTTATTTAACATTTCGAGTCATTTAGAGAGTCATTTTCTAGATGTACAAATTCCATACAATTTATATTTTCACACTTTTCATTTTCTACATACATTCATCTTAAAAAACAGTTGGAAAACTGCAGAGAAAGAAAGAAAGAAAGAAAGAAAGATAGAAGGTCAGAAAAATCAGAGAACAAAAATACGAAAGATTAATGAAGAAGCAAGAACATATAATATAACCAGGTTTTTATTTATATATGTGTATCCTTTTATAATCAAGTTATTCTATAATTTTTTATGATAACTGGACAAAAAAAATTTACTAACAAATTATTCAATCTATCATTGTTTTCTTTACTAAAAATCAAAATCTACTATTGTTTTTTAGTTATATTAAAAAAATATAAAATACAACGAAAAACGCTTATAAATGCACTTGATCGAGTTTAAAAAATATACTGGATCAATGCATATTAATTTGAACAGCTGAGATCAGAATCATACTCTTCATATAATTGCGTAATAAATGGTCTTACTATTGCTTCCATTTGTTTTGCAATAAGCTAGGTGTATATGGAATGATTTTAATATTGTTATAATCTGTTGTTCCTCTTTCATCTACAGTCATCTAAATAACAAAAACTTTTAATCAAATCAGTGGACTAGAAATTCAAAAGCTTGCTGTCAGAATACCATTAACATAAATGAAACAAATGATTCCAATTATTGAAACACCTTGTTTCGCACATCGAATACCAGTGACATCATATTGACCCAAAATATGATTATGTCCTGATATTAAACTTTCACTTTCAACAATTTTGAAAGTAATTACTTGTTGTTTAGAATAAGATGTTGTGGGTGTGAGTGCATGATTAATACAACCCACGTTCATCTCAATCAACAATGACAACCATAACCACACCCTAATTCAAAT